GGGAGACCAGCACCACCGCCCTCAGCCGGCCGCCGGGGCGCGAGGCGGAGGCGCGCACGGCGCCGGGCGTCGGCAGGCCTACCCGTAGTGGAGAGCAGAGGCTGCACTGTTGATGGCATTGATGTAGGTCGTGCGTCGGCTCGCCTCGCTCGTCGCAGTCGGCGAAGACAGGCACAAGGCCGAGGAGCTGAAGCGCGACCAGGTGCGAAAAGTAGTAGGGCCGCCAGAGAAGCACCTCGTCGCCGACGTCACAGGTGGACAGCAGCGCGTGCACGAACGCCTGGTTGGCGCCGGGTGTCACCATGACGTGCTCGCGCCCGTGCTCCTCGCGCAGCGCTGCCAGCAGCGCCGGCTCGCCGCGGATGTCGCCATACCCGCCGTCGCCGCGCAGCGCCGCCTCGACGAGGCGCTCGGGCGGCGACCAGTGCGCCGTCCCAGGCGCGAGGTTGGCGATGCCGGGACGGAGGTGCGTGGCGATGATGCGCTCGACGATCGCCTCCGAGGCGTTGGCCGCGCGCATGGACGGCCGGAGGCGACGCATTGTCTCGCGAAATGCCCGCGTGTGCGGCAAGAGGTAGCAGAGCCCCAGCCGACTCTGCTGTCAGCCTCGAGGGGTCTGCGAACACCGCGCAGCTGAAGCGGCGGCAACTACAAGACGGGTTTAAAATCCCTGTGTGGTGGCGGCGTGCCGTTCTCCCATCCCTCCCTTGGGTTCTGTGTTTTCTTTCTTTCTTTCTTTACCAGACGGGTTTTCTTCTTTCGCTTTATTTCTTTTGTTCGCGATGTCCACAACCGCCGCGCCGCCGCTCGCGCACCCTCGCCTCCGCCGCCGCCGCCGCCCCCTCGCCAGTCGCGCCGCCGCCCGCCCGGCTCCTCGACCTCCCCAGGGAGCTCCTCGAGCGCGCCCTCTCCCGCTTCGACAGCCCCGCCGACATCGCTCGCGCCGCGGCCGTCTCGCTGCTCTTCCACGCCTCGCTAGCGGAGCAGGGCATCCGCTTGTGGGCGCAAGAGCGCGGCTTCGAGCTGCCGCCGCAGCCGGAGGGCGAGAGCTGCGCCGTGCGGTGGCTGTGCTTCGCCGCGCTCCTGCGCAAGGCCAACCCGCCGGCGAGGGTGTCCGCAGGCGAACGGCACAGCGTCTTCATCGACGGCAAGGGGCAGCTCTCGTCGTGCGGGTCAGCGGCAACGGAGGGGGAGGAGGAGGAGGAGGAGGACGAGGAGGAATTACCAGGCCTTCTCGGCCACGGCGAGGGCGTGACGCGGCTCAACACGCCGACCCGCCTCCCGTCAACGCTGGGTGACGAGCGCGCCGTGAGCGTGTCGGCTGGAGATGGCCACAGCCTCGCCCTCACCGCCGACGGCGCCGTCTGGAGTTGGGGCGGTGG